AGAAAGATTTCACAGTGAACACCCCATTCTTGCATTCTTTCCACCACATCCCATCCCTCAAAGAGTGTGACACCTTAACTTTCTGTAACTTTTCCAGCAGCTTAATACATTCTTCCTCTATCTCTTGATCCAGAAGATGTCTTCTGAATTTGGGGCACCAAACAATCTCATCTCCCCTTAGCTCAAAACATTGACCAACTTTAATGTGATGCTTAGTCAGCCTGAATTTGGTTTAAACTAAGACTTTGGTTTTAGAAGGGGTTTGAGAGATAATGAATGTGAATCCCTAGTTCTCCTTCTTTCAAAATTGGAAAAGGTCTTCTTGGATCAAAATTCCTTGGACAGTAGAGTTTGGCCTCCCTCTCCTGATGGTCTTTCTCTTGTGCTTCCTTCTTCAACATCCTTACCCCCTCAGAACATATGGGCAAGAATTTCCTAGTGAAAGAAATTTAGTGTAAAACAATCCCCCCCAATGTATATTGCATTTGGGATTACTTCTCACTCTTTGGCTGCAGATGGGATCCCCCGCAAGATGTGGTCAGCTTATTCAATTCCAATTTCTTGCAGCAAGAAAAAAAGGGCAAAATGCTTATGGAGGGTAACAAGAGCAACTGGTTTGGACCATCTGGGAAGAAAGAAATCAAAGGATTTCCAATGAGAAGAGCAGATCTAAGGAGGAAGTATTTCAAACAAAAAAAAAAAATCAGATCTGTGCATTGGATAAAAACTGTTGATATCTTCAAAGATGTCTCAGCAAATGAAATAATAAGGAATGGAAGTGGCACAAGTGGAAACGCATAAAGAAATAATTAAGATGGATTGGAACTCCAGAGCCAAATAAGTTGAAGCAGAACCTTGACGGTAGCTCCTTTGGAAACCCTGGGAGGGCAGGAATAGGGGGAGTCTTTAGAAATCATCATGGAAAAGTTGTGGCTTTGTTCTCAGGACCAATTGGGTACTCGATTCAGGCAGAGATAATGGCTCTCTTACAAGGCTTGAAATTAGCAATACAATTAGAAGCTAGAGAGTTGGAAGTTGAAGGGGACTCACTATTGGTCATCTCTTAGGCTAAGCAAGTAAACTCAGCACCCAGGAAGTATAGATTTGCATTCAGGGAGATTGACCTTCTTGCTAAGAGTTTTAACTCTACATTTGGGTGGGTTAAAAGTTGGGTGAGTTTTAACTCAGCACCCTGGGAGGACAGGAATAGGGGGAGTCTTTAGAAATCATCATGGAAAAGTTGTGGCTTTGTTCTCAGGACCAATTGGGTAAGGAGACTCAATTCAGGCAGAGATAATGGCTCTCTTACAAGGCTTGAAATTAGCAATACAATTAGAAGCTAGAGAGTTGGAAGTGGAAGGGGACTCACTATTGGTCATCTCTTGGGCTAAGCAAGTAAACTTAGCACCCTGGAAGTATAGATTTGCATTCAGGGAGATTGACCTTCTCGCTAAGAGTTTTAACTCTACATTTGGGTGGGTTAAAAGGGCAGCAAATACTCTAGCAAAACAAGGAGTTGATAGGCCTGCTCTATTTTGGGCAAAACTGTAGCTCTCTGTATTAAAACAAAGAGATGATGATCCTTGTAATTTGGGACATTTTGTATAATTGCTATACTCTGACTGCATAGTAGCTAAAGTACTTGTAATATATTATTTAAATTAATAAATAAAATCTCCTTTGTTGATCGAAAAAAAAAAACATCATCCCAAAATAACAAACTGAATTTCATAAGCAAACCATACCTTATGAAGGTGAGGAACTGAAGAAGGATAGTAGCCCGTTGAGATACACCAGCATCCCAGACATTATTTGAACTATGAATACTATCAATTACCTTATGCCATAATCTCTCTCTCTCTCCAATGGCCACCTCCATAACCATTTCCCCAACAAGGCCACATCTTTGCTAGTTAGATTCTTTAATCCAAGTCCACCCTCCTTTTTAGGTCAATAGACAATCTCCCACTTTATCAAGTGATCTTTCTTCTACTCACCCAGTTCCCAAAGGAAACTTCTTATCAACATCTCTAATCTCTTAACTTCCCTATAGAGGATTCTAAAGACAGAGAGAAAATACGTCAGTACATAAGCTAGTAGGCCTTTAATCAAGGTAACTCTTCCTCCCAGAGAAATGTAGTTCTTTTTCTACGTTACCAACTTTTTTCAAATTTTTCCAATACCAGAATCCAAAAGTGATTCTCCTTTGGATTTGCACCTAGAGGGAGACCTAGATAAAACAAGGGCCAAGATGCAATTGGACAACCTAAGCACTCTACTATGGATCCAACAAACCGCTCATCCAAATTAATACCCACCACACAGTTTTTCTCCCAATTGACTTTCAGATTAGCATTCTCAAATCGATTGATAAGATCTCTAAGGTTCCTTACCAGTCTTAAGTCATTCCCATTACAAAAGATGATGATGTCATCAGAAAATTGGAGGTGGGTAATAGAGATGCCATTTCTACCTATTGTCCAACCCCTAACAACCTCCTTCCTGTCAGTTTTCGAGATTAGGCGACTAAACACATCAGCTATTAGGGTAAAAAGGAAGGGAAAGAGAGGGTCACATTGTCTCAAACCTCACACTGAAAAAAAAAAAAGACCTTGACCACACCATTGACCAAAGTTGAGTAATGACAAGAGTTTAAGCACCCCCACATCTAGTCACACCATCTATCCCTAAACCCATAAAACCCAAGTACCTCTAGCTTACACACAAAACCTTGATGGCTAGATCTCCTCATATCCTCCACACACTCATTGGAAATAAAGCTTTGACCATAAATTTGTCTTCCTTGCATAGACGCTATTTGAGTTTGACTAATTAAATTGGGAAGCACCTCTCTAAACTTCAAGGATAGCACCTTAGCCAAAATTTTGTAGATACCAGTCACCAAACTAATGGGCCTAAAATCCTTAGGGCGCAAGGACCTCAAGGCAGTCATCTATAATCACATCCCAACAATCTTGATAGAAATCCATCATGAAATGATTTGGGCCTAGAGCTTTACATCTGTCCATTAAGAAAACCGTTTTTTTTTTTTTAATCTCTTCTTCCTCAAAATTTCTCTCAAGCCATCGAGAACTTTCCTCATCCAGATCTTTCAGGCTTTGCTTAAAGTTCAAAGGTCTTCTAAAAAAAGACTTGAAATACTCCACAAAGATTCTAGCTATCTCCTCTTGAGAAGTAAGTTCTTCCCCATTTACGTGAAACTTACCCCCAAAGTTCTTCCCCCTTCCATTGGCCAAGGCATTAAAGAAATTAGTGTTCCCATCCCCTTCTTTTATCCATTATCTCAATTTTTGTCTCCATGAAATCTCCTCTCTCAATAGGATTTCTTCCAACTCCTTGAGTTCCCATCAAGTTCCACAATTCATGTCACTAGATTAGCATTTTGTTCTTCCAACCTTCCAACTCCTTGTTCTAAGTCTATTTAGCTTTTTATGGAATCTAACCCCCTTCCACTTCAGCCCTCTCATCACTTCATTGCACCACTCCTCCACCTTCCTACCAAAATTGACTTGTAAGAGTGGAATCTCCTTCAGCTCATAACTATTAATGAACTCATTAAATTTCCTCATGGTCATTGTACTAGAGTGGTTGGAATTGTTTGTTTCGATACAAAATCTAATTATATTGAAGTCTCCAGTCTCCAATCTCCACCTAGGCACCAAGGCCCATCCCATAAACCTTGTAAACCATACAACTCCTCCCACATCTCATTCCTCTCTAAGTGTTAGGCCCATACATATTGGTTAACACCCAAACAGTGTTTTAAAAGTGTAAAGCACAAGGGCCAATTTGCGCCTGAGGCGCAAGGCACAAGGCAAGGTGTGCGCCTTTTTAAGAAAGGCACAAAATTACAAAAAAAAAGCTAAAAATCAAAAAAAAAAGTCAGAAAATTCCAAAAAATGCCAAAAATTTTAAAAAATGCAAAAAATATTAAAAAATATTAAACATAACGTTAATAAAAATACAAACTTAAATTTTAAAATAAATGATTTAAAAAACCTATTATCTAAAATTAAAATACATAAACATAACATGTAAAGTGTATTCAAATGAAAATTTAAAAATAAAAGCAAACATATAAAGCGTTTTCAAGCATGTAAAACCCGCAATCTCTTTTTTTCCTTAATTGCATTGCTTCAAGTAGTTAATGTGATCTAAAACATATTGCATTCTTGATTCTATGAGTCGCCTTTGTAGCACGCCCCTCGAGGCAAGCCCAAACAAGTCTATGTTAGGGTCTGAAATTCTTATTTCTCACATAAAAAATAATGATTTTACAACTTTCATTGCCTTTTAAGAAGATATTTTATTGCAATGAATGAATGAACAACATAAGCAAATAGGGGGTTCTCGGAGCGCAAAAAGCGCAAAATTTTAAAAAGGCGCACGCCTGGGCTGAGGCGCAAGGCACATCAGGCGCACCAGGCACGCACCTTTTGAAAGAGGTGCGCCTAGGACCTGGGCGAGGCGCATACCCCAAAATAGGTGCGGCGCGCCTTTTAAATCACTGCACCCAAATGAATTCATCATCCACATTTTTAAATTTTATGGACACAGAGAAGTTGCCTAACACTTCTTCTAGAGGTTCCACTACATCTACCCTCCACATTGTAACCAACCCTCCTGAGGCTCCCCTGGACATTTAAGAGACCCAATTTACCCCATTGACTTCCACATACTCCTGATCCATCTTCTATCTAGTTCTGGTAATTTCAGTTATAGTGGTCCAGACATTCTACAAATTATCTTGTTTAGGTAAACAAAGTCTAATAAATCATAAAAGTGCACAGTTCCAATATGACACTATTATAATTTGAATGAAGCATCAGCTCTAATTTGAAAACAGTAGCCTAAAACTAAATGTAACCCAATGATTCTTCGTGAATCTAACTTCAAAGAAATTTTCAAAAATAATAAGAAGGGATAAAGCAAAATTAAAAGAAAATCAGCAAATATCAAAATAGAAACAAAGAAATTACTGTATTCCGCTGCAAGTTACACAAACGAAAGTCCAAAAGTTCGTACAGACATACTGAGGACCCTGCACCCAAAAGAAAGGAAAAACGAATGACTTTTTCCATACGACATAGTATGCCAGAAAATTTAAACACAGAAAAATCAACAAGACCGAATCCCATGGTAATGCTACTCTTCAAAATATAAGTGCAAAACAACTTCAAATAGTTTTCTCATCCCCAAAAAAATAAAAAAAAAAACAACACTACCATCTCCAAACCCTAGAAACCCAAACTCTCCGCAATTCTCGAAAAACCGTCAAGAAAAACAAAACAAACACAGCAAAAATTTACCAGACTATTACAGTTGATGCATCTTCGATTGGGAGGAAGCTTCATGAGACCTCGAATAATCTTCTCATTCCGCTCCTCTTCCTTTCTACTACTCATTTTCTCTGCCATGACAAGAAAACCAGAATCAGAACAGCAACCAAGTTCAACCTCCGAACCCTAAAAGCATGAAACCCAGTCCTGGATTTTGGAGGCGGCACGAACGAGAGGGTGGCCGCCTGGTGGAATTGGAGCACCGAACACGGCTAAGCTCGATTTGGTGGAGACGTTTAACGCTTTCTGTTTTTATTAATTCGTTTTTTTTCTAACCCTTTTATGTCTCATTCTCCATCCATCGAATCGACTGGAGTGGGAGTTTTGCTTTGTCTTCTATGCATAACGGACAGTGGAACCCTGAGCAGACAGTAGGCAATAACAATATAAAGTCACCGGATTTTGCCGGTGGATGCATTTAGTGATAGGGGGTTGAGTGACCGGATGTTTGAAGGATTTCAAATTATTAGCAGTCCAACTTGGTGTACGGAGTGAGAAACGAGAGTCAGTTCTGAAACCCGGGGACACACGGTCCGTAATCACAGATTGGACTGGCCCACATAAAATGATATCTTTTCATCTACCGTTGGATTGATCCTGATGGTAGATCAACTGGACCAAACGTAGAAAAAATGGAGAATGAGGGTCAGCCTAGGGTCAGAAATTTTAGGCTCCTAGGTGCCAGCTCAGAATTGATGTCAATTCATTGCCGGGCATTGATGTATAAAGTTAGGAATGGCAACGGGGTAGGTTTGGGGCAGAGCACCCCCTTCCCGTCCCCGTGGCGGGGCAGGTTTGGGGTGGGGCATCCACTCCCTATGGGGGATAGGTAATCCCCGAATTTTTCTTGCTTCAATGCAACTTTTTAAAAATTATTTATTTTGTGAACAATTTAGAAATTTGGGGGTATTTTAAGAATTGAATTATAATACTTTTGGGGTACTTTAAAAATGGAATTATGAAATTATAGGATTTTAAGAATTTAGGAAAACTTAGAGATATTTTACTAATTTTACCTTCGGGTTCAGGGCAAGTTCGGGGAATTATATACAAATCCTGTACTGTTCGGGGAAAAAATATTTTCCCCATCCCCGCCCTATCCCCGTTTAGGGTCGGGGAAAATTGCTATCCCTATATAGAGTGGGGGTATTTGCATTTTGAATGTTTATAGGTCTGTAATAGAATTCAGAAATCTGCATTGGGCCTACCCGTACTTTTTTGTGAAAAAAATGAGTTTTTTATAAATAAAATAACTACCATATAATGATCCGTGCGGCAAGGGATATTTGATCCATACGCAAATAAATTAAGAAAACCTCAACAACCTAATATGTGCAAGAAAGGAAAGATTATGGCTTGCTATATATTTGTAATGGAAGAAATCTCAACATACTACTATGTTTTCTTTTGTCCTGGTTTGCTTTTTGGAAAATTACTTATCTAGTTAAGTGCATTTATTCATGTTCTTTTATTTTCCATGCATTTAAGATAATGATCATTTTGGTCAAGAAAAGCCATTATTGAAAAGGGCAATTTTGTTCCATCCAAGTGTTGGCAACTTCCCTATGTGTAAAAGTTAATTACCCACTTGGGAGATGGGTATCACTTACCCAAGAAAAATAAATTTTTCATGGTTCTCACATAAATCTGAGAAAAGAATATAGGTATCTTGGTGAGCAGGCCCTTAAAGAAATTATAAACAAAAAGAACCTTCAAATTAAATTTTTAGATCAAACAAGAAAGTAGTAAAATAAACTCATATATCCCTCCCTAACTATTCTAGAGTGAGTTAGTCTGCTAGACATTATCTGATAAAAAAGACAGCCATATATATATATATATATATATGTATGTATATGGATAATTATGTAGAAATCCAATTAGATAAATGGATAGGTTTTCATTTAAGATATCAGAAATCTTTGTTGAATTATAATATATGGATAAAATAAATCATAGGAATAAACTACTTAAGCAAAGAAGATCTTAAAGGAGAATATAAAATCCTTACCTCACAGTATTCCAGCATTAAAATTTGCAACCAATGTGTTGTAGCATGATTACCATTCATCTTTTTTTTATCAACATGACAACACCAAGTTTCAATGAGGAAACAACCATGGAAACTTGTTATGGAGTCTTAAGAGTTTCAAATAGCTTCTACAAAGCCCAAGTTCTACTTTAGGAAAGAAATCAAATGTGAGGAGAGAAACCTCAATGCGGCTAAAAGATATTGGAAGAGCAAACTAGAAACATAATAAGGCAGGAAAAGATGAACTAACCCATGCATGTCACAAGAAATTCTAACAAGATCTCCATCTTTTCTAGTGATTGCCTAAAGTATTTGCATTTTCTTGTTTGGTGCCCTCTCTGAATTTTCTATGCAAGAAGCGAAAACCATATTGATCCTTTGCTATGAGATAAATTCTACCAATGACCCCATTTAAAGAATTTTATTTTTGATATGGTGATTTTGGATTATTATTTCTAAGGTCTATAGTAAAAGAAGGACAACATCCTAAACTTGTTAACGAGGTTTGCTTCTGGCCATGAGCAAATGGAGAGATCCCAACCCTCTCACAAAACCCTTGAACATAATAACAGTAGAGGCCACTACTCATAAGTGTTAGATCTGACAAATTAAATCTCCTTGGCATTGTAGCATTGTTTCAAAATGGGCCTCGACTAGCTTTTTAGTTGGTGGGAGATGGGTATCTCAAAATATGGTTGCCTTAGGCTGCAAGCTACTAAGCCAATGGTAGCATTAGCACTTCTTTGAGCTACTTAAGAAAAAATTTCATACTTGATTCCATTGATGGTTTGGATATTTTCAAAAGATGTAGCCCTTTTAGCATGATTCAATGGCAACCATGGAATCTTTCACCTTCACCTGGATTGCTTGGACAATTTACCAATTGTGCTACTTTTCTTTCATTGACTCCAATGTCTACTATTTTCATCCCAAACAAAATATTTTGGAAAATCCTTATAGAGATGCTTTCATGCCTCTTCATCTCTTTGGTTCATTTGAAAACATTTAGTCAACATGGTTCTTGAAGATCTTTCTGTTGGAAGGGTTAGAGACGGATTTGACATGCCCGAACCAAATTTGGCTATTAGCCGAATTTATAAATTTTTTCTAGCCCAACTCGGTGTAAGTACATGTAGTTCTTCATCACCCAATTACATTACAGATATTAAAATAAGGCCATGAGCGCAAATCTAACAACACATGGAATCTCTCAAAACTTATGATAAGCTTAGTAAACCATCGCAGATTTATGATGAGCTTAACAACCATCGCAATCTTGTGATGAGCTTAATATCCATCACAAAAATTGCGATGAGCTTAAAAGCTACATGGGATTTGCAATAAGCACAGAAGGCCATTCAAGACTTGCGATGAGCATAAAACACCTCTTGGGACCCACGATGAACAATGAGTGTCGACTTGCGATAACATTGTCAGTCAGATCTTGTCCTTTAACACGTTGCCACTAGGAAACCCATAAGGGGACGTAGCCTACACACACTACGTGAGAATCCTTAAGAGAAATGAAACATTGTCTTTGGAAGATCTCTCTAGACACGTGGCAAAACCCCAATGGTGCTCCCTTAATAGATGACTTAAAGATCCCATTTCCTAATAGGAAATGTTTCCTTTTAGATCCTTCTCCTTATAGCCTTGGGGTCCTATCTATAAATAGGGGAATAACTTTCCCCCATGGTAGACAATATTATATAACCTTGACCTAGGGCTTCTTAGAAGGAGACTCTCCCTTATGTCCTCTCTTCCCCTCTCTTCCCCACGTTCTCTCTCTCTCTCTCTCTCTCTCTCTCTCCTATCACCTTCTTTGGACCTTTGGAGACTTGAGCAACCTCCATTGCCTTACCATCACACCAACAATAGAATCTCTAGTTAGATCTCTGATCTTTTTGGAGAAAGTGGTGGGATAAAGAGTTGTTCTATCATCCAAGGCTGAAAAAAAAAAACTTTCGTGGAAAGGGTTTTAAGGTGGTCTGATTTCATAAGCAATATTTTTGCCGTTGATGTCCATGGAGTTCTTCGCTCCTTCATTTGGTTTAGAATTCTTCTACTATAATTTGGGGAGACTTTAACAATCACACTTTGTACACATAAGTTGTGCTTTCTAAACCGAGATGGGACCCAAAACTGTGATTTCACATTGCGGGCTTCTGGGAATATGAATGAACAAGTTTCTAGTCACAGAAATAAGGAGCATCCAAAACTGTGATTTCACACTGCGGGCTTCTGGGAATGATGAATGAACAAGTTTCTAGCTATAGAAATAAGGAGCATCCATGGAATGAATCAAAAACCTGAAATTGATTTCCAGCGATAGCCTAAATTTGGGGGAAGCACAACATGAACACGAGGGGAGATGGTGGAATTTTTTTTTTTGGAAATTGCAATGATTAGGCTCTGTACAAGGATTGAAAGCCAATTACATTACCCTATTCCAGATTTATTTTTCTTCCCTTTGATCAATTCCCTTTTGAACATCATTAAGGAATTTTGGATGTTCCATTACCTTTTTGCTAATTGTTTTGTTTCCTTGCAGATCCGCTACGTCCAAAGTCACCTTATAGGGTTTTCTGGTTGGACTGATCCCCGTCAAATTACAACGATTCAACTTCGGCAATGACCTGGCAACATAATGGCGAACCACTATCAATCCCTTAGGTCATGCAATTTTCATCACCATATGCAATTGGAATGGGTACTAAGCATTATCGTTTTGTTTCTTTGTCTGTTCTTCATGCCAACCTCTGTTTCAATGGTGGAAATTTCCAACCGGATGCATGACAAACTGCTTGTGGATGTGACAATCCATTAGCAGTTTGTTGCCACAATTCAGACGACAGGCCAGTGTGGTCTGCATCGCTGGCGCTTTCCACGATCAGTTCCAGGTTCGTCTCCTTAATCCTGGCTAGAAGAAAATGGGTGATTTGACCTTCTTGTAGTTTCTTAATTATTGTAGTTGATGACTGAGAATGATATTCAAGCCTAAGCCGAATAGAATCGTCTTTTCTTAATTGTTTTAGTTGATTGTCTATGTGCTGAATTCCAGTTTAAGGATCGTTGTAAACTGTCATAGATTTTAATCAGTGATATTGTTATCAATTAATAAGATTCACCCCTTGAAGTGCATGTAGTTTACCATGTGGATCTCAGAGGAGCACCTTTGTTTCTACAGTCAACATGCCATAAACTTTAGAATTATGGGAATTTGGTATTCCAGATGTGGGCAATCATCAGACTAGAATGTTTCCACCCACACCGTGGGGATAACAGACTTGGGTAGCTTGTGGGGCATAAGTGAAAAA